TGGAGACACCGAGGACAGGGACTGTCCCCGGCATGTTAAAGGTTGAGGTAGGAAGCCGCAACTGCATTGCGCTGGTACCCACAAAACCACACTCCGGGCAGACTGTCCCTGAAGCACACAGAGCCCTGTCCTGCCTCAGGGGTTTGCTCCTGTGGTCCCCTGAGGCTGGGACACGCTTCCATCAGCCCTCTAACTGGCTGTTCCCTGAGGGGGACGCTCAAATGCCACTGCCTCTGAGAGACCCTCCATGGCCTCTCTTTCTAAGTATATCCTCACCCTCCAGCTACTCGTTGTCACACTGACCCTTCACACTGTTTACCTGTTTATTGCCTCCCCCCTGGAATGGAAGCCCCATGACAGCAGGGCCCGTCTGTCTTGCTCATCATTCCTGCCTAGAATGGTAAGTAGCACGAAGCAAGACGTCAAACATTTGCCGAATGAATTAAAGAATTAATGAATGTTCTAGCTGCAACTATACCCCTTCCCTCCCATTGAAGAAAGTATGGTTGAGCATAAGTGAGCAGGTGCGATATTATTGATTACAAAATCTGTATGCCCATGCCACACCGCACACCAGTGAAACCGGAAGATCTGGGGGTGGGATCTGAACATCAGTATTTAAAGGTCTCCAGGTGATTCCAATGTACATCCAAGGGTAAGATTCAATGACCCTGAAGAATAAGAGTGTGGCCTTGGAACCAGACAACCCACATGTGTTTCTCAGATCTACCACCCAGATCTACTCCTCAGATAAAGTCTGGGGTCCCCTCTCCCTCAACTCTTGACTCTGTTCTAATTTATTTTTGTTAAGCAAATACATTTATGAATTTTAGTATCTTAGTAAAATTACCCGTGACACATGTGACAAATGCTCAAGACACAAAGAGATGTCACAACCCCGAACAGAGACTTCCTATGTGGTAGAAGCAACTGGTATATTTAAAGCCGAAGTATGCCCTGATCCATTTCAGAGCATAAGAGTACATCTTTGATTATACCAAAGAGCATTTCAGCTAGGACCTGATGCCTACAAAGGGGGCAATTTAATCTCAAAGATTTACTCCTGGGCTTCCCTGGTGGCGCAGTGGTGGAGAGTCCACCTGCCGATGCA